GTTTCCCTTCTTTGCTGCACTTCCTTTTTAAATCCTCATGTCTTCTCATGCCTGGGGAGAACTTCCCTTTTGCAGCTGAGTGCCTCTTCCTGTAGTGCTGGCTCAGGTTGCAAACCTGCACACAGACACCGTGTATCCATTTCAGAGACAAAGCAGTCTGCTGCAAAACAGAAGTTCTGCCCAGCAGAGAACAGATATTTAAAAGGAAGAGCAGCAAAGAGAAGGGAAACAACCATGGATTAGTAAACTAGCGTCCTCCCGTCACCCTAGGCTCAGTATATAGAGAGCTACAGCTCGCGTTATAATGAGACGCCGCAGCTCAAGCGGATCCCGGCAATTATGTCTGGATCCACCCAGCTGCGTGAGTGACAGCTGGCTCTGCCTATCTAGAGACAGAGCCAGCTGTACCCTCCCCGTCCGTTCCCGCCAGTCAGTGCTGGAGGATCGGACGCGAGGATCCAGTCACTCCCCTGTCACTTGTGATGAGAGAGCATGGAGCCGACTTCCCGGCCAATCGGGAAGCCGGGTAGCATGCAATGACGCGCTGCCCGGCTTCCCGATTGGTCAGGCAGCCAGCAAATCCGGGCGCCGTGTATTGACGCAGCGCCTGGCATTCTGATTGGCCGGGAAGCCGGCGTCATGCTCCCTCGTCATCTCATGAATCATAATATTAACCCCTTCGTGACTGACGACGTACAGTGTACGTCGCCAGCATCGGGGCTGTTTAAACTTGTAGAGCCGACTGTCGGCTTTACAACAGAAGCGATCCTGGCGACTTACCTGTCGCCAGATCGCTTCTGTGTCCCGAAGAAGGGGCCGCCCCCCCCAACCGGACACCCCCACCGTGCTTCCCGGGCTCAGTTGCCCCTCCTACGGGCCCCGGACCGGCGATCTTGGTGTCCGCGGGGAGCTGGGGAGGAGGTCGACTAACTTCCGTTCATCGATCCCCTCCCCGTTCTATGCGACCGGGAGCGATGCAGATTGCATCACTTCCGGTCCCTGGGCTGTCAGTTCTGGGCTCCTGGAGCCCAGCTATAAGCTATTGAAGTGCGATCTGCACTTCAATAGCTTATTTCCAGTGTAAAGGTGACACTGGGGGTCTTTTGGACCCCCAGCATCACCTTAAAGAGTACCTGTCACCACCATCTGCTATCACATGGGGGGGCTTGTAAGCCCCCCCATGTGATAGCAGTCAAAGTAAAGTAAAAAAAAAAAAAAAAAAAACAGTTTTTAAAATTAAAATGAAATAAAATAAATCTAATAATAATAAAAAAAAATTTTAAAGGTACCCCGCCCCCGCGAGCACGCGCGTCGCCACGTAAACACGCGTCGGGTGCGCCTACGTATGAAAACGACGAACGCGCTACACATGTTGGGTATCGCCGCGCACGCCGGAGTGAGAGCAATAATTCTAGGGCCAGTATTTTGGGGTATCTCTAAATTGATGACCTGTGGGGGCTTTTAAAGCGTCTTTTATTGACTTTTTGGGGTACTGCAGTTTTTCGCCGTTTCACGGTCGCACGCAATCTGTAAACTGGGCATGTTGGGTATCGTTTTACTCGTTGTAACCTCATCTTTTATATTTCATTAAAAAAATGGGTAATTTGTTGTGTTTTGGGGCATTTAATTAAATTTGTCACTAAATTTTGGGGTTTAATAAGGAGTTGCGCTAATATTGCGCAACATAAAAATTTTCAACTACCACCATTTTATTCTATAGGGTCTTGGCATTCAGAAAATATATAATGTTTGGGGGGTTTTAAGTAATTTTCAGGCCTAAAATGTGGAATATAACATGGGTGCAAAAAATGAAAAAAGGGCCTCAGTCATGAAGGGGTTAAGAAAGTGACCTTAAAGCATTAGTTTGTATTGCTTTAGAAAAAATGTGACCTGTCCCATTGGTAATTGGTAATTGGTATCTGCGAGTACTTGATCAAAAGTATCGGTACTCGTACCCGCTCTTAAAGTGGTATCGGTGCATCCCTAATTACAACCCTTATGCTCTAAACTCTACAGTGTAGGAAGGCTGACTACAGATGCATGAGGTGTCCATGAGATCTTGGAGTCATTAATCAGGTCAGGTTGTCCGGGCCCCCCCCCCATCGCATTTTTGCTATAGGGCCCCATGAGCTGTAGTTACGCCCCTGCGTTCATGAGATTAGCATGCACCTTGTCAGGAGCAATGATGGCTCCATGAGCGGTGTGCTGGGAGTATTTCCTCACGACGTCTCTTCTCTGCAGGCTGAGGAGCATCGGATCTGCGTGTGTGTGCGAAAAAGGCCTCTGAACAAGCAAGGTAAGCAAAGTCCTCTTTGGGACTGGCCGTCCTGCCCTTCGTGATGACCTTATTGTCTTCTCCACCTCTGCAGAGCTGGCCAAGAAGGAGATTGACATCATATCTGTCCCAAGTAAAAGTCTAGTTCTGGTACATGAGCCCAAACTCAAAGTGGATCTGACCAAGTATCTGGAGAACCAGGCCTTCCGCTTTGATTACACCTTCGACGAGACGGCCACAAATGACGTGGTGTACAGGTACTCCTCCAACCTCTTGATATTTAACAGTTTTGGATCTCTTGACATGGTATGTCACCGGTTGTCTTGGTCACCAGGTTCACAGCCCGACCACTGGTCCAATCCATATTTGAAGGAGGGAAGGCCACGTGTTTTGCGTACGGTCAAACAGGAAGTGGAAAAACCCATGTAAGTAAAATGTTGTTATAAACAGGGCAATGGGGGGGGTGGGGGGTGGTGTATGCTGAACGAGCTTTAGCCAAAATTGTGCCACTTGCTCCTTATTCCCAGCACTTATTAGAAACTGTTCTTTGACTTGCTTTGCAGACGATGGGTGGTGACTTCATGGGGAAAAGTCAGAATGTGACGAAAGGAATCTACGCTTCTGCATGTAAGTCTTGAATTGTATTCTCTGCAGAGTGGTGTCAGTCTTGTCCTGTAGCCCATGCCTCCTGCAGAGTGGTGTCAGTCTTGTCCTGTAGCCCATGCCTCTTGCAGAGTGGGGTCCGTCTTGCCTGTAGCCCATGCCTCCTGCAGAGTGGGGTCCGTCCTTGTCCTGTAGCCCATGCCTCCTGCAGAGTGGGGTCCGTCTTGTCCTGTAGCCCATGCCTCTTGCAGAGTGGGGTCCGTCTTGTCCTGTAGCCCATGCCTCTTGCAGAGTGGGGTCCGTCTTGTCCTGTAGCCCATGCCTCCTGCAGAGTGGGGTCCGTCTTGTCCTGTAGCCCAATCCTCCTGCAGAGTGGGGTCCGTCTTGTCCTGTCGCCCATGCCTCCTGCAGAGTGGGGTCCAGTAGCCCATGCCTCCTGCAGAGTGGGGTCCTGTAGCCCATGCCTCCTGCAGAGTGGGGTCCCGTCTTGTCCTGTCGCCCATGCCTCTTACTACTTATGGGCTTCCAATGTCTAACAGATGTCTGTGGTGCTGCATATGAATTGGGGGGCTTTTGAACTTATTTTGTCATGTTTGAGTTTTATGGATTCTATGCCGAGGCGCTTGGAACTTCCTATGCTTAGCTCAATCTAGTGGCCATAATGCAGTGTTTATATCGCCTTACATTCAACCTGAAAAGATGTATAAGTGTTTTTTGTTTTTTTTTGCCTCTATACTCACAGAATGAATGTTCAGATGTTCACAAGTTGGCTCTGCAGATTGTTTATAAATATAAATAGACCCCTTTTGGCTTTTTTATCATGGAAATGTTGAATACTAATAAAATTCTGAACGTGCAATAGATTTGTGCTGAGGTTGTGGTCTCTTCACAGCGCGTGACGTCTTCCTACTCCTCTCCCAACCTCGCTACCAGGATTTGGATCTGGAAGTGTTTGTGACGTTCTTTGAGATCTATAACGGCAAGGTGAGTTCACTAAAAACCGGCTGAAGAGGTTTTCTGTCATTTAATTTGTCAGGCGATGCTGCCAATCGGCATGGGTGGGCAGGGTGGAATGGTGGCCAAAGGGACTATGGGAGATGCAATGTATTGACTCCTAGACAGTTTTCCATATAATATCCCCAAACCTTCCAAGAAAGCAGATTTCTGTGTTTAGAAAGTGACTCCGTCATAGTGTCATACAGCTGATCTCAGGTCTGATGAGCCCATGTCTTGGTAATGTGGAAATACAGGGCACATGTATGGGGATGTAGTGATTTTATATTTGAATATATTCCAACAGTTGCAGTTTTCATGCTTTCAAGAGATCTGTAAAGTTTTTTTTTTTTTTAATTTTGGGAAACTATTTTAATATTGGATCTGTTTGCTTTCATGGCAAATGATTCCCAGTGTATCTAGTAGGGATGTGCCGATGCTTGTATCTGTGCCAATACTGAGTATTTGGGCGAGTACTCGTACTCTCCCAAATGCTCCGATACCTTCCCCGATACCGGAACTTTCCCTCAGAAGATTTCCTGTGGCTGTCGGATCCGTAGGGGAACGTGGAGCCAACTTCCTGTGCGGTCAGGAAGCTGGGTGGAGAGTTATGACCCACCTCCCGGTTTCCTGATTGGCCGCCAGCTCGATGCTAATTGGCTTGGAAGTCGGCTTTCCAACCAACCTGCATCGAGCCAGCTTCCCGTCCATTTGGGAGGCGGGTCCTGATTGGCCGAGAAGCTGGCTCTATGCTGACTGTTCTTGGCCGGCAAACCAGCTTGCCAGCCAGACGTGGAGCCAGCTTTGTGGTCAATCAGTCTGCCCGGGAAGCCGGTATCAACAAGTTCCAAAAGCATCGGTACTCGATACTGAAAACTGTATTGGTGCATCCCAAGCTTTGGTTGGAGCTGGATGTACGGCTTGGAGCTTTTTTTTTTTTTTTTTTTTTTTTTTTTTTTTTTTTTTCCACTTTTTTTTTTTTTTCTTTTCTTCAGCCCTGTTGCTTATATTTTTATGTCTGTGTTCAGGTATTTGATCTCCTAAACAAAAAGGCGAAACTCCGTGTGCTGGAAGATGCTAAGCAGGTGGTGCAGGTGGTGGGGTTGATGGAGCGAGAAGTCACATGTGCGGAGGATGTCTTTAAGATGATTGAGGTTGGCAGTGCCTGTAGGTAAGTGGCCCCCCCCACACCAGGCATAATGACCCCCCTTTGGTGGCCGTACATTGCCGTGTCATTTGTGTAGAGCTTGACATGCAGTGCACATCTGTGAATTGGTTTTGTTCCCTGCAGGACTTCTGGTCAGACGTTTGCCAACAGCAGCTCCTCGCGTTCTCACGCCTGCTTACAAATAATCCTGCGACGGCGGGGGAAGCTCCACGGCAAGTTTTCCTTGGTAGATCTGGCTGGGAATGAGCGAGGTGCCGACACTGCCAGCGCTGACCGCATAACCCGCATGGAGGGGGCAGAGATCAACCGCAGTTTACTTGCCTTAAAGGTAATGATGCAGCTGCCGAGTGTCTACTACCCACGGGGCTTACAGGAGGGAGAAGGTTGAGGATGTCTAAGGTGGTGGTAGGTCCAGAGGAAGTGGGAGGAGTGTGCAGATCTAAAGTGTTACCTTCCCATTGCTGTACCGGGAGGGGAGGGCGCGCGCGCATCACAGTATGTTCATTCCTCTTATGTGTTTTTACAGATCTCGTCAGGTTCCCATGTTGTTTTAATGTGTCTAATCTGTTGGCTTGATTCAGTTTTAGGTCTCGATGTTCTGGAAGCTGATGGAAGACGAGAGGTCTTTTCTATACTTTATAATTGTCTTGTATTTTCCAGGAATGCATCCGTGCATTGGGGCAGAACAAGGCTCACACCCCATTCCGGGAGAGTAAACTGACCCAAATCCTCCGAGATTCCTTCATTGGGGAGAACTCCAGGACTTGCATGGTACTTCAGTAAATGTATTTTCTTTACATTGGTGTGTACAATGTTTAGATGTTTAATAATTATCTGTGGTGAGCTACAATATCAAAACTATCTACCAAACTACCACGGTTTGCCTAAATGTGGGCATGGCTGACTGAAATGGGCAGGTACCCTTAGGGAGGGGTCACCACATCCTTTATCGGACTGCTTAAAGGCCTTGGCTGGAGTGGGATTTAATTGTGTTTTCTCAAGTTTCAAATGACAAAAGTATCCATCCTTAAATCCCAATTTTGAGCTAGTTTAATCTTGTCCTCTCCCTCCAGGTGTTGGCATTGAGCCTAATCTGTCAAACATGTCGGAGTAGGTTTATTCCCTCCAAAGGGATCTCTCCTCCATTGTGGTGGATGTACCTTGGAGAATGCATAGAGCAAATGTCTGGCAGGAGTGATGACCTATCAAAAGAGCATCTTACTTGGATGGCTTTTGAGGGATGTCCTCTCTTTTTTTTGGCCCTGTACTGCACACCATGATTAACGTTTCTTCAACTTCTCAAGAGGCCAGAGTGTACTCCAGCCCCAACATAGAGCCCAGTTGAATCGCCCTTCCCTGGCTCTGAGGCCTACTAATTCTACATGAACGTGGTGCTTGGTATTGGTATTGGAACGTGGAGCTTGGCATTCTGGTTGCCTTCATAGTTATGGAGTTTGGGCCCTAAGGAATACTGGCTGCGGTGATCTCGGTCCCTGTACTGGCTGCGGTGATCTCGGTCCCTGTACTGGCTGCGGTGATCTCGGTCCCTGTACTGGCTGCGGTGATCTCTTGTAAATCTGCTGAATGATTTTTAATTGCACGATATTTGTATTACAGATTGCTATGTTGTCCCCGGGATTTAACTCCTGCGAGTACACACTCAACACGCTGAGATACGCAGACAGGTGGGTCTCTGGTTTGTTCTCCCATCTTTCTCTGTCCAGTTACTTGTACTGATCGGTAATATTTGTACTTTCCTTTGTCAGGGTGAAGGAACTGAGTCCCCACAGCGCTGAACCTGCAGATAATCATCATCAGGAGGAGATGGAGCACAGCGATAGCTCTCAGTCCTCTATTGGAGGATTGGAGTTCCAGGATGATGTGAGTGATGTCATATCTTGTATTTGTAGGTAATCTTAAAGGGTTAATAAACTCTCGCATGTTTCTGCATATATCTACTGCTAGCAACCTGTAGACATATGCAAAACCATAAAAAAACAAAAACCTTTTTAAACAGGTTAAAGGAGAACTATGGGGTTAAGGCTTTTCTCCTTAGGGTAACGGGAGGACACAAACTAGCGTCCCTCTCTCTCACGCTAGGCTCAGTATACCGCGAGATGTAGACCAGGAGATTCTCCCCCTTCGTGTTGGTGTTCTGACTTGGTTTTGTGTTCCCTTAGCTGTCCCTGAAGGATGAAGAACTCTCCTCTCATATGAGCAGTTTCCAGGAAGCCATGAGCCAGATTGGGGAGCTGGAGGAGAAGGCTGTGGAGGAGCTCCGCGACTTTGTGCAGGTAAGATCAGAGCGTCTGGCTGGGAGACGGGACGTCACTGTATGGTAAAATGATTGTCTAAGCCTTTGCAGTGACAGCGCCCCTAGTGGATAAACTGGGACATTGCAGCAAATCTTTGTATTTTATTTTGTGTATGCATGTGACCCCCATTTGGAGGAGGTTGGGTAGTAGGACAGGCAAGCACTGTAATAAAAAATCTG